TAATACAGAAAATAATGCATGACGTTTCTGAAGAACTGTAATGATTTCATACAATGTTTTTCTTGCCTTGTACATTTACATAGAACATCTATATGGATATTTTAAAAAAAACACCGTAACACTTGATTTTCTAAGAGAACGTTGTATTTAGCTACATATACTGCATTCGCTCTTTAGAACAAACAAACTGCTTTGTCAGTAGCAACCTTAGGCTGTAGGAATTTCACTGGAAGTATTTAGTAAGTATTAGGAAAATAATTATTACTAAACAAAAAATGCAACACTTTGGTTTTTTACCCTGGTTCCTTGTGAACTGTAGTTGCTAACATAGTCACAGTGATGAGCAGTGGCTGAGGAAGTCTTCGGATCCTTTAAAACTTCCAGGACAGTACTGCAGTGCTTAATGCTTCTCCTGTATCTTTTTATACTAAATATCTATCCAGTCCAGCTTCATACTAGCAGAGCCATGAGGAGGATCGTGGTGTTTCAGTGTGTACTTACACAAACCAGTTTCATAATTTATTACAATTTTTCATAGTTAATTACCAAAGTGTATAAGCTCTGTAAGCAGAGAACTGGGAGAAACAACTGCAGTGTCTGCACTTCCAACTTCAGCTGGATCTTTCAAAAGATGCAAAGGAAGGTGATGGACCAATACTATTCTTTTGAAAAATCTCAGACCAAGTATGAAAGCTTAATCTATGCTGGTTTTACTTGGGGGTTTTTTATGATGAAAACTAGTGTTGAGATTATGCTGTGTATTTTTAGAGAAAAAACAAGCTCAGTTTTAAATTCGTGTCTTCAGCTTTGCTAGCTTTTTATCATGTTACCTGTTCCACTTTTTAATGCCTCTTTCCAATGCAACTACCTTTTCTCTTCAGCATTTTGTTGTCAGGGCATTAACTTGTGTCTTAACTTTAGGGCTTTTTTATTGCAGATTAATCAGAGCCAGAAGGAGCTGGTTTATTTTAAGTTACTGGTTTGATTTACAGCTGAGTGTTAGTGAAGTCCTTCAGACTGAAAATTTGAAAATAGATTCTGTTTGTGGTGAGTAAATAACAGTATGGGGTTTTTTTGGCCAATTGCAGCCCTGGTAGAGTTTACAATTGAGTTATATTTACTGCCATGGAAATAGAATCCTTCTCTTGCTTGGAAAAGTACAGTAGCTGGTTGTCTTCAAGGCCACTGCAAATACAGTGAATCAATGAATCTCCTTCTGAATTTTTAAATTATTTCTAATCCAGCAGTTGCATTTTTTTTTTTATCATGCCTAGTTGCAGTAATTGTAGGCTTGCCTTTCCTACACTCAGTTTACAGCAGTATGCTTGCATTTCTGGGTTTCTTACCTGCTTTCTGTTTGAGGCTGGCAAGAAAAAATAGCTTTTAAGAACCCATTAACAACATGGCCAAAGGTACAATGATTTCAAGTGACAAATCTATTGTAGCAAGATTTTCCTTCCCCTATATGTTGGGGACTGTGGAAACCACTAGTGTGTGTAACCTTATGTCAAAGAATGCAACTGGTCATACAATTGCAGTAGAGACATCCACTAAATAAGCAGGACTCTGGATTTGATACAGTTTGCACTTGCAAAAAGAAAGCACTTAATACTTACCCCCAGGCTGCTATCAGATTGTACTGGACAAATTATGTCACTTGTGAATTATTTTCCCCCTATTTTTTTGCAGTGTATCATCAGTCTTCACAGGTCAAGCCTCAAAAAATGTGATGGTGATACTTAAAGCTACAGAAAGTATCAAGTAACTTGTCCTGTCCCACTGAAATTCTCAGTCTCTTGCTACTTGCTCAGTACTGGTTCTTATATAAAGTCACAGAATATTAATACCCTGCAGCTACTCTATGAGGCAGTTAAGAATGCTGTCATCAGTTTCCCCACAATAACCTGGTAGAGGCTTAAGTGTTAAAAGAGTTTTGGTTTCTTTTATATTACAGCTTTCAGTGAAAAGTTCCTATCAAAGTTTTCATAAATAATTTTGATTATCCTTTTATCTGGTAAATACATACAGAGCTGTTATTTGTATATCTTTTCATAATAATTTTTTATGTATCCATGGGAGCTTATTAACAAAACTACAGATGAAACACACAGCAATGAATCCTTGCTCCTAGTTCACAAGACTTTTACAATTGCTGTGTGAAAATCAGCTGTTTAGTTGTGAACCTCTTAGTCATCTAATGCTTACCTTGATCTCTACATCTAGTTTTAAAAGGAATGCAAAAATAAAATGCAAGCTACTGCAGACTTACCTAGAGACAGGTTAAATTTTAAAAGATTCTATTTTAAAAGTGCATGACATTAAATCTAGTCATGCAGTGTCATTTGTATCAAGGTATGTGATTGAAATCCTTTGCATCCTGATCCTGCACTGTTACCCAACATTGTAACAGCATCTGCAAGTTCAACTACTGAATGTTTTGCATTTTAAGAGCCTTAATTGTTTCTATTGTATTAATGTGTTTTTAAAGACTAAGGAAAAAGCATCTTCCTTGTCAATTGTTAAAATATTTTTGATCACTTAAAATAATTTTCAGAGTCCAGTTCTGTATCTTAACACCCTTTTGTGTTCATGTACCACAAAGGAAACTGTTTAATTGTTATCTTTTCTAAAGTTTCTCCAGGTATCATCCTCTCCATAATTTAAGATATTTACTCTCTTGAGATTTATTTTGGTTAACAGTCTTCTGACATTTGTTGTATGTAAAAAAAAAATTAAGTGAGCAAATTTAAATAAATGTTTCATTTAGGTATTTAAGTTCTTTCCTGATAAGAAAAGTTGGATGAAATCCTAGAAAAAAAAAGTCTTGCTCTGAATATGAAAGGATAGACTTCTGTTAATCTAAATATTTTATAAATTCAAAGGTTTTGGCAATTTGTTTTCAGTAAGATTTTTCCTCTTTATCATCCTAGTTTATTTCAATACTTTAATTCAAATGAAGTATCTCTATATGTGTAACCACATTTTCATTTAATTAAGCAGAAAAGTCAGGAACTATTCTTGATAGCTCTACCAGTTGGAATGCACATCTAGATCTGTTTACTGTAAGATACCAAGTCACATCTCAAGTTTTGTTTTTGTACTTCTCCATAGTTTCAAGGTCATATAAACTTCCTTATTTTCCATCTGATCCATTAGTCACTACAAATTCATCTTACAGCAAATACTTATTGTGTATGTCTTGTTACACCTAATGAAGGCATAGATTGCAGCCAGATAGATACAAACTTCTGGTAACATGCACTTTCTTGGAAACTTTAGCAAAAAAACTTGGTAAATTTAACTTCTTAGCTGCTTCTTCAAAGAACTGAACAGAGAGGATACATTCAGTCCCTCAAGGTAAGTTATTATTGGACAAATGTCCTGAAATATCTGCTGATACAGCATATTTATATTTGTCAATTGTGAGTATTCACAAAGGATTAATTATAAAAAAATTCTGCTCTACGAGGCTTCTCTTCTCCTCTTTCCTAAAAGTCTACCTACTCAAGAACAACTTTGTGTAACTCATTTTCTGCTACTTAATCTGAAACACTGCAGATATGCAGCAGTTCTGCCACACAGCAAACAGAAAGCAGCTGAGGGTGGTAAATTCTCATGTGCAGCATTCAGCTTGTTCCCATTGGCCTTTAATTTTTTTTAAAAGACAATCTGGACCTGTAAAAACTACTCAAATCCTACATTACAAGCTGCTCTCATGTTTAAGATTTAACACAGGCCATTCATAGAATCATAGAATCTTAGGGGTTGGAAGGGACCTCAAAAGATCTTCTAGTCCACCCCCCCTGCC